GGAAGGAAGGAAGGAAGGAAGGAAGGAAGGAAGGTCAGCATTAAAGCAAAGCAGCCAGTCAGTAGAATACGATCCTATCAAGAGAAAACAGCAACCAAGACCAGGTAGCAGAATCGCCACAGCAGATCAGATAAGATAAGATAAGATAATCTTTATTGTCATTTTTTTTACTGTGGACACAATGGCACACCTCAAAAATGAAATTTAGTTGCCCGCTCTCAGAGTGAAACACATTCATGACACACACCTAAACATACTATATACAACATATGTATAGACCCACACCCCTACATATGCATAACAAATAAATATTAAATACTGTCCCATGTGATAATTTACTTACTCCAGGGCTTCCTGTCTCTCTTTCCGTTTTTCTTCTTTTGCTCGTTGTTTTTCAGCTTTCTCCTTTTCGTCTTTCTCCTTTTTCTCTCTCCTTTCTTTGTCCTTCAGCTCCTTCTCTTCTTCTTTCTTCCTCTTCGCCTCCTCGCGGGCACGTTCTTTGGCAGCCTTGGCTTCCTTTTTCAGTTGCCTCTTCTCCTCCTGCTCAGCTTGCAGCTTCTGAAGTTTTTCTGTACGTTCTTGGTCCTTAAAAAAAACAAAACAACAACCCAGAAAAGTCTTTAAGGAGATATTCTTGACACTGTCATGTCCCCACAGTCAAGCAGTATGTGTTAACGGGTTACAGGTAGTCCTCAATTTACAACTATTTGTTTAGCAACCATTCAGTATTACAACTGCACTGAAAAATGTGACTTATCACCAGTCCTCGGACCTACAACCATGGTTACTTCATCGAAACCTGGGTACTTGGCAACCGGGATCCGTTTATAACAGTTGCAAGATCCTGGGGTCACGTGATCACCATTTGCGACCTTCCCAGCTGCCTTCCAATACGCAAAGTCAATGGAGGAAGCTGGATTGGCTTAAGAAACGTGCGATTCACTTAACAACCGTGGCAAGTCGTAAAATCGAGCATGACTCACTTAACGGCCTCACTCAGCAATGGAAATTCTGACCCCAAGTATGGGTCGTTAAGTCGAGGACTACCTGTATATTGTTCCCAAGCTCCTCCCCTCCACGTGATCAGGATGGTGAGCCCAACAGAGGGAAAGCATATGAAGAAGGATGCAAGTCAACTGGGGGAGGCCAGGCAGGCAGTCATAAATGCAGCCAGGCCCAAATTTTGTTACCATAACTGTGTGGGTGATGCAACGGACGGAACTTAGAGGAACAGACGTACGGTAATTCTCTTCGTTCAGTGCTGTATTAACTCTGGCCACTGAAAAAAAGGTCATGAAGTGGGGATAACCTGCATGTTCATAGATTGAATGAATAAAACTTTCCACATTATAGGTAACAGAATAACAGAGTTGGAAGGGGCCTTGGAGATATCTGTCCTGCTCAGGCAGGAAGCCCTATACCAGGGCTAGGCAACCTTGGCTCTTTTATGACTCGTGGACTTCAACTCCCAGAATTCCTGAGCCAGCATGGCTCAGCTTGGAAACCTCTCCATTTCTCCTCAGCGTGGCTGGCTCAGGAATTCTGGGAGTTGAAGTCCACGAGTCATAAAAGAGCCAAGGTTGCCTGCCCCTGATCTAGGTCTGTCTGTCTGTCTGTCTGTCTGTCTGTCTATCTGTCTGTCTGTCTGTCTCTCTCTCTATCCATCCATCCCTCCATCCATCCATCCATCATCTAGGTCAGGGGTTAGATAGATAGATAGATAGATAGATAGATAGATAGATAGATAGACAGACAGACAGACAGACAGACAGACAGACAGACAGACAGACAGACAGACAGACAGACAGATAGATAGATCTAGGTCAGGAGTAGGCAACCTTGGCTCTTTTATGACTCGTGGACTTCAACTCCCAGAATTCCTGAGCCAGCATGGCTCAGCTTGGAAACCTCTCCCTTTCCCCTCAGCGTGGCTGGCTCAGGAATTCTGGGAGTTGAAGTCCACCAGTCATAAAAGAGCCAAGGTTGGCTATCCCTGTGTCAACGCTGTTAATATACGACATTATTGCTTTGACAAGATATACAGAAGTGTCTGGTATTTTTAGAGTTAATTCAGATGACAGAGTGAAGTGAATCTTTGCCCTCCAGGCTAATTGGAAGATGTGACTTATGACTGCAAAATAAGGGAGGGGTTTAGAAAGAAAAGTTAGACGCAAGCAAGTTAAATTCAGATTCTGGCATAAACCTCCATGATGTGCCGTCAATTTGTAACACTGTTAATAAAGGCTTTAGGATAAACATGCCTGGAAGTTCTTTGAAGTGTTTCATTAGTCGGAACCATGACACCCTGGTTTAGGAGGTGCCTTGCTTTGATTGGCAATTACATCATCCAAACACGACAACAGCCAACCCCCAAACAGACTAAAACAGGTGATGTCCCAATATCCCTGGATACTGCCAAGTTCAAAAATAGCTGTTATCACAACAACATCTTTCAAGGTAGTATGCTAGCCATGAATACCTGGAAGATATGGGATGATGGAAAAGGCCTTTTAAGTCAGGCCACATTCCACCTGATTTAATATCGTCTTCCCCGGAATTTAGATCTTTTCTGGCCTAGCTGGAGAGGCTGGCATAAAAACTAGGTCTTTTTCTGCCTGCGGGTAGCTCCGCTGAGCTGTTCCGGTGGGCAAAATTTACAATTTATTAGGGATGCGCATGCCTGAAAAATGCTGTGGGAACAAGCACTTCAGACCTTAAAATAAACAGAACATATCTGTTACTGATTAAAGCAGATATTCCTCAGGCTTCTGGGCTTGAACAGCCACAGTGCTAAAGTCACTGGTGATGTGTCATCATCTCTTAGCAACCGGAGATAATTCTTCTGCAGGATGATGACTGGTAATTAAAGGAGCCCAAATTTTAACGGGCTTTCATGAAAGCTTTACAAAAAAAAAAAAAAAAAAACACCCCCTCAGGCTGCTTCGGTGATGGCCAAAGAGATAGGGTCATTAAAACCACTTAAGGCTGCCTTCCACCTCTGAACACTTTCACTTGTCAGCAAGGGAATTCAGCTAGTCCAGGGCTTTTCAACCAGTGGTATGGGCACCACCTGTGGTACATTGGCACCTGGCAGGTGGTACACAACCATCCTAGAAAAGTGGTAGCGGGGGAGGGGAATGAGCTGAACCGGTGGCAGCACCGCACAAGCCTGAGCGAGAGACGGCTGGAGCTGCAGGGCTGTCAGGGCTCAGCGGAAGCGCCAGGATCAGCACTTCTTTGGGACTGTCAGGGCTCAGTGGAAGCGCCAGGATCAGCACAAGGCTCCAGCTGGAGCTCGGCACTGATCCTGGTGCTTCTGCTGAGCCCTGAAGAAGCGCCGATCAGCTGGAGTGTTGCAGCCTCTCCAGGGTCTTGTGATTTACATTCAGATGCTTGGCAACTGATTCATATTTATGACGGTCACAGTGTCCCAGGGTCATGTGAAGTGACCAAAATCTGCTGCAACCACCCAGCAGACGGGGGGAATAAAAACCAAACACCCCCCACCCCACCCCCACTGCCAATCCTCAACAGAAATGCTCACAACAATGGAAACCTCAGACAGGAGGAAGAGCGCCACTGGGTGGGCAGGCAGGTGTCTTGCTCGGCTGTGGCTTGGGGGGCACTTTTTTCAGTCCCATTGTAACTTCAAACAGTCACTAAGCGAACTGTTGTAAGTCGAGGACTACCTGTACTTTATTTATTTTTATTTATTTATTTTATTAAATTTATATCCCGCCCTTCTCCTTGCGGACTCAGGGCGGCTTTTTTCCTTTTTTGGGGGGGGGGGGTCATCACGTTTTTGACCCCTTGCTAGGCGATTGGTGGTACTCGGATATTGCCCTATCCTAAAAGTGGTACAATGGGTGAAAAGGTTGAAAAGCCCTGAGCTAGTCAGTGGAATCATCTCACCCTCTGTAGCTTGAGTTTCTCCTTCTCCTCTGAACTTCGATGGACTTTTGGAGAAGCCTGAAATAGCAAGGATGGAGCAAGTTAGGCCATCGGCATTTCTTTTTAAGCAATCAAAACCGAGACTAGGATTTATACAGAGCACAAATCACAAGGGGATGTCTGGGGGTCTTGAAAAATCCTGCCCTTCTGCAAGCTGTAACTTATAGCATGATTTGACTAACCATAGTTAAGGGAATTCTGGTTTAGCATGAGTCAGACCAAAGAGTCACTTTTGGCATGTTATGGCGTAATGCAGTGATCTGACTTCCTCATCTGTTCTTTAAGGAAACAGGGGAAGCACAGAATCAGGTGAGGTTAGGCAGTGTTTCTCAACCTTGACAACTTTAAGGCATGTGGACTTCAACTCCCAGAATTCCACAGCCAGCAATGCTGGCTGTGGAATTCTGGGAGTTGAAGTCCACATGCCTTAAAGTTGTCAAGGTTGAGAAACACTGGGTTAGAGTCATCATTTTCTACCTATTTTCAGAAATCATGATGCAAAAAGCTGGATTTTAGGTAAGATGATTAGAAAAGCAACTTTGACACATGAAGTCTGCAATGAATAATAATAATAATAATAATAATAATAATAATTATTATTATTATTATTATTATTATTATTATTATTATAAAGTTGGAAGGTACCTTGGAAGTCATCTAGTCCAACCCCCCGCTCAGGCAAGACACCCTATACCAATGATGGCGAACCTTTTAGAGACTGAGTGCCCAAACTGCAACCCAAAACCCACTTATGTATCATCGGGTGCTGGGTGGGCGTGGCCCATTGGGTGGCCGTGGCGGCAGACTGGGTGGGACTAAAAAGTTCAATCAATCAATTCTAACTTTGAGAGATCTTTTTTTTTCCCCGCAAAAAGTTAAAATTGATTGATTGAACCTTTTTTTTTTTTTTTGCACACGGCAGCGGAGGCCTAAAGCAAAAAGGTTTTATAAAACCCAGCTGAAGGCCTAGGACTGGGGCGACGGCGCGCGTGTCCACAGAGAGGGCTCTGAGTGCCGCCTTTGGCATGCGTGCCATAGATTCGCCACCACTGCCCTATACCATTTCAGACAAATGGCTGTCTAGTCTCTTCTTAAAAACTTCCAGTGTTCCAGCATTCACTGCTTCTGGAGGCAGGTTGTTCCACTGGTTAATTGTTCTGTCAGGAAGTTTCTCCTTAGTTCTAGGTTGCTTTTCTCTTTGATTAGTTTCCATCCTTGCTTCTTGTCCTGCCTTCAGGTGCCTTGGAGAATAGCTTGACTCCCTCTTCTTTGGGGCAGCCCCTGAGATACTGGAAGACTGCTATCATGTCCCCCCTCGTCCTTCTCTTCATTAAACTAGACATTCCCAATTCCAGCAACCGTTCCTTGTATCTTTTAGCCTCCAGTCCCCTAATCATTTTTCCAGCCCTACAACATGGATAAGAAAACCTAAAAGTGATCAGAGATGGGCTACATCTCCCACAATTCTTATTTAGCAGCTACTTATGACCACAACGGAGCCTGGAATTTTGATTGCAAGTCATTGGGGTCATAAGTCGAGGTACCAAGTGACTAGATTCAAACTTACAATCATTTTTGTAACAACCATCAGCTGAGTCAACATGCTATAAAGTGAATGCAAAAATCTATATAAATAGATACAAGTTCCATTTTATCATTATGGCAAATAGGCAAACTAAACACACTTATTTGAACTGGGTTTAAAATTGAACATTTGGGAAGGTAATGCATAGAGATTATGTTCTGTAATGTTTCAGGGTTGCTATTCTGGCTATCTTTTCAAATGAAAAAATAACTCCACCTCCCAATTCTAGTTGGTTGGAATGAGAAAACATACCCTTTAACTTTAAACCTTTTAACTTTAACTTTAAACCTTGCCAGTAAAAGAGGTTTATTTCGGATTGCAGCAAAGAACTAACCTAACACAACTTGATCTGAATTTATACTCAGGCAAGAATCTTCTCCAGTTCTTTCCATGAAGGTTGTTAATTCCAGCCCTGGACCCAGGAGTTGTTGAAGAACAACAACAAAAAAAAGGCAGTAAACCAACTTAGGATTGCCACAAGTGCAAATCGTACTGGCGCCTCCAAGACTTACCCATTCTTATTTGAAATCAAGAAAACAAGACTTGCCAGTTAACTAAGTTTTGGCCAACAGAACAATTCAGCTCTTTGTTTGAAACTAAAGAATGGCAACAAACAAATCCCAAAGGCTGGTGAATAAACTATTTCCCAGAAACAATACAAGACACTTTTAAGTATAAGCTGGAGAGCTTCATAATATAATAGGTATCTTTGAACAAAACCCACGCACGTACACAATGGGCAAGGCGCCACATTACACAGGCAACTCAGAGACACAATAACAAAACAGAGCAGCTTTTTAAAACACAGACACACACACATACTGCAATACAGAACCCCTTTGGAGAAGTTGACATGCAACATACCAATTTATGCAATACAGTAAGTCAACAGTGTGTGAACCTTGGCTCATATTCAGTGGATCCAGCTGCCTATCTGCTTATGTGGGATTAGGTTAGGGATGTAATTTTCAAGCCTTTGAGTATTTCTGCTATAAAGGGGAAGGTTTTAAGGAGCAGAAAGTGTGGTTTTAGCGTAGCAGAACAGAGCCATAGGTGTCTATTAGGTAACAGTGGATGCCTTCTCTGTAAATTTCATTTCCCATTGTACAGAGAGAATAATAATAATAATAATAATAATAATAATAATAATAATAATAATAATAATAATAATAATAATAATAATAATAAAGTTGGAAGGGACCTTGGGGGTCATCAAGTCCAACCCCCTGCTCAGGCAGGTAACCCTATACCATTTCGGACAAATGGCTGTCCAGTTTCTTTTTAAAAACTTCCAGTGTTGGAGCATTCACAGCTTCTGGAGGCAGGTTGTTCCACTGGAGTGTGTGCTTTTCTTGATGCCCATAGCCCAGTGGTGGCAGGGGGGTGGAGCAGGGGCCGGGGCCAGTTTTGGGGCACTCGGTCTCTAAAAGGTTCGCCATCACTGCCATAGCCCTTGACTTGCCACCGCCCGTTTAGTGACCGTTCAAATCATAACAGCAGTGAAAAAAGGGACAGGGCCATTTTTCCTATTTACCACTGTTGCAGCATCTCCGCGGTCATCCGATTATTTTTCGGATGATTGGCAACTGGCCTATGTTTTGTGATCACCATTTGTAACCTTCCCAGCTGGCTTCCGACAAGCAATGGGGGGGGGGGAACCAGACTTGCTTAATGAGCACACGATTCAATTAACAACGGCAGTGATTCACTTAACTGTCGCAAAAAGAAGGTTGTAAAACGAGGCACAACTCGCTAAAGAACTGCCTTGCTTAGCAACAGGAATTTTGGGCTGAATTGTGGTTGTAAACTCTGGGAAGTCAGCCCCCCCCCCGAGAAATAAATATTTTTGGAAATATTTAAAAAACAGAATATATTTCCCTAAAGGATTTAAAGGCAGAAACCAACACACACAGACACACCCCAGGTCTCTCTGTCCCAAGCAGAAACAAGCTCTGTAGAAATGCCGATGTAATAATCCATTCAGGAAGGTTGGAGCCTTCCAGCTAGAAGCTTAGGAAGACAAAGACACCTAAAATCTACACGCCCCACCCAAACTCTAAGACAGGACATCATAGGATTAACCCACAGATGCCAAAGGGGGGCACACTCAGACTCAGGTCAAAGTTCATGCCACAGGAACAACTCCAAACAAAAGGCTCCAGAGGGTATAAAAACCCACTCCCTACATGTGCTCGCTCTCTTTTCTTCCAGAGCTATCTTTCTGTCTGGCTCTCCTCTTCAATAAACTGCAACCTTCTTTCTAAAGCAGTCGCCATGTTGTTTATTCCCGGCTTGGACTGAACCCTGATGAAGACTTTTCCAAGGACTACTTGTATAGAGGGTATGTCTGTTGACTTAGAACTACATTCTCTATAGAACAGTGGTGGTGAACCTATGGCACGCGTGCCAGAGGCGGCACGCAGAGCCCTCTCTGTGGGCACACGCGCCATGCCCCGGAGATGGCAACCGTCCAACTTCAACCAGCCGCCCACTAACTCGTCAAGGTCCCACGTGGACAGATGCATCCCAGCATGGCTGATTTCCCTCCCCCCCCGGTCCCATTCCTCCTGGCCTCGCATGCTCTCCTTTTACCAGGCACGACCCACCGCATGGCCTCCTCAGCTATTGGCTGGCCATCCAGCTCAGAGGCGGCTTCTCTGAACTGCTGGCGGCGGGCTGCAGAGTCCCAGAGTGCACCAGTCGAGGGGTCGGTAGGTTGTGGCTGCTAACGGACACTGTCGGCCCCCATGCGCTCACTGGCCTCTATGTGCAGGGGCCAATGGTTTCAGGCAGCAGCCGCCCTGGCCCCTGCCTCGCGACAATGGCATCCCTGCCCTGCCTCGCCTCGCCTCACCCCACAGGACAAGCCCTCTGCCCACCATCCCACCTGCCAGAGACCCTCGGGATCTCCCCCAACCCTGCCCAGCCCCCACAGGCGTTCCTCCCCACGAGCAACATTGAGGTGACCACGACCACCTTGGCCACACCCATCCAGTCTGCCATGACCACCACAGCCACGCCCACCCAATGGGCCATGCCCACCCGGCACCCGGCGATAAACAAGTGGATTTTGGGTTGCAGTTTGGGCACTCGGTCTCTAAAAGGTTCGCCATCACTGCTATAGACCTTTCTAAAGAAAACAAGCCCTAAAACCCAAACCTATCAAGCTGGATTATAGCATACAATCCTCTTACTCTTCACCTAGTCGATTATTTTTGGCTGGGAGCTCAGACATTCCTACAAAGGAATGTCCGAATTGTTTCCTGAAATAATTTTTTTTAAAAAAACCCAGTCACATTATGCCACTAGAAAGTTATCTATAGATAGCATTTAATGGCCGTAATCTTTGGGATTGAAAAGGACATTCCACACCACAACCTGCTCACTTGGGGCTGTTTCCTTCCCTGTCCTGCCCACGTGGTATCCGTTCTTG